CTTCTATGGTTAGGAGTGATTGAGAGCTTCTTGTACTAATTGCTACTTCTTATCCTTGTCGCTCTTTCTGACAAATGCGTGGTTCAAACTTTTCCTGAGCATGTTGCAAATAGTATTGCATTGGGATATTGATGATTGCACTAAAACATCATTCACAAGTTTTGATTTTATTAAAATACTTATAAGAGCCCATCAATCCCATGAATTATTTAATAATTACATTTAATATTTTAATAATGATTAAGATTTAAATCATGACACTACTATAATATAGTCCCCTATCTTTTACCAAAAATTGTACATGTTAAAAAAAAAAAGAAAAAAGTAGAGGGTACTAGGAAGAGTTAGCTTTACATATAATGTTGCTTGCATGATAATGTCGATTTAAGTGAGATAAATAGTGATTTTTTCAAAATGGGTATTATTTTTATTTTTATTTTTTGCTCATATTATAAAAACAACTTAAAATTAAAAATTTTATTAGTATTTGACAAATTATATGAGGGATAGTTAAGTTGGAGTTAGTTTATTAATTAAGAAACTCATTTATTAAAGCATCCTACAAGGAATATAAAAGACCCTATCAGGTTCAGCATCCGAAATGTATTTCTTCACTTTTCCCAATTTTTTATGCACCATATTGGCTCTTTAATTAATTCTTTCTTTTTTAAAGAAAAAAAAACGTTGTGCAATTGAATAGCCCACTCTGGTCTAGTGGCATTGAATCTTGAGTTATGACTGTTCACCTTCTGTGAGTTGTACGTTTGACCTTGACCCTCACAAAAACCATTTTTCTCATCCGCCAATTAACTTGTAAATAATTGTAATATGTTAAAAAAAAATTGTGCAATTATTCACATTATAAAAAGAATTGTGCAATTATCATTGGAATAAAGCCCAGGCCTAGGGGTCCATTTCTGTCTTGACTTACCCGATCCGTTATAAAATAGCTTAGCCCGATTTCTTTGGGCCATTAAATACTCATTGCTGTAAGTAATGCTATCTTTTTCAAATTGATTGGAAAATGTTTCAGTTGGGCCACCACGAGTAAACCTTGGCCCATAGAAGTTCTTCTATTGCCCCAAAATCAAACCCCAAATCTGCTTTTGATGGTGTATAAAACACAACGGATTGACATAATTGGTAACCTCCTGTTTGAAATTGGATGATGTATAATGTATAAATAAATGTTATTTTTTTTGGGTGGTTTTATTTTCATTTTTATCCTACTCTTTTTTCTATTTCAATGGGAAACCACTTTTTTTAATTTTTGTTTTGAGTTTTGTGTGAAATGCTTCAGTTTGTTTTGTTTATATTTTGTGGATATTGTCTTTTGTATGAATTGGTCCCGTAGCTCAGTTGGTTAGAGCGTTGGTCTTATGAGCCGAAGGTCGCGGGTTCGAGCCCCGCCGGGACCATATTTTTAATCATTGTTTCTTGTTTATGAGCTTGGGGCTGAGAGCTTAGTCTGGGCTAACTTCATCTTTGTTTGTGTGCTTACGGTGCCCACAATAATGTTGTAGTCATTTAAATAGTATAAAGAATTATATTTAAAAATATTAATTTTATTTAATTAATTGATAAAAATAATTAATAATTATGATTATTAATTAATAGTTAATATTACCATTAATATTTATTAGTTAACAAATTAATTAATTAATTAATTAATATTTTCAGATCTTATTTTTTTTAAAAAATAACCCAAAATTTTAGTGGGTTTAACAATATTGAGAGTTTTAACAACACCACCCTACTTAAAGATTAAGTAAGGATTGAAGCAAAAAACCTATATAGTTAAGTACTTCATTTTAAATCTCTTATATCTTAACTTGAAAATTTTCTTTTGGTGTATCATAAAGACTAGGAATAGCAGTAAAAACAGTTCTCAATACAATTATGTTTCTCTTGGTTTTCAACCCTTTTTTTTTTTTTTTTTTGTCTTTAACATGGTGGAAATTTTTTGGGAAAAAGGAAGAATTTTCACAAAATTTTTTTTTTTCGAGATCAGCGAATTTTCACAAATGTTATGTGGGATCCAACATAGAGGCCCCCTTGGGGGGTGAACCATCTGCCTCGAAAGGGCTGGTCTAGCTTAGTTTTCAACTTTTATGGATAAACTATTTCAGATGTATTACATCAATCGCCTTTAATTCTT